TTGTCATGGATTCGAATTCCACCGAGGTAATCGGCGTTGTTTATAATTGGGTTAAATGTGTTAACTTATGCATTGTAAATCATATAAATTACTGTTTTGTGCATATATTATAACAGACCTCTAGCACTCATTACAGTTGTTAATTGTAAACTGCATTATCGGGAGCCTTACGGACAGTCCTGTTTTTGTTTGGTCTATCATTTCGTCAACATGTGTTGTCATCGATGGCTGCAGTAGACTGCCCATCTCATGGGATGTTACTCGAAATTGTAAAATGTCTTTTCGATTCGAACAAATTACTTAAGTAAGATTGTAATATCAGTCATCGCGCAGGCTAATTGCAAGATATCTCAGTCACGCGGAAAGCCAGCTTTTGAAGGAGCTTCTTTCGGACTGCCTGCAAAAAGCATATTATGTAAAAAGTAACTACTTAAGAACGTTTGCATTTTTCTCATTGATTCTCAATGCTATTTTTATTTTCAACTATAATTTATAGTAAGCCTGAAGGATAATATTCTTCCTCGTATTCACTTTGTAGAAAATTACGCCTTCTTCAAATTGTATACCTGAAAAAGGGTATCTTTTGGTTTTAAAGAAGTTTCTAATTACGCGATTTTTAAGATCGTGAGCTTTTTGTTCATAACGCATCCTATCCACCAGTTTATTAATGCTGTCTATAAAGTATACAAGATGAACCACATTCACTTGAAATTTTTATAACTATGTGACCCCTTCCCCGTTCTATATAAATTTTCATATTTTTAGCTTGAATGCGCAGGACACTAAAAATATCGAGAAGCCGGGAGGGATGAACCTTCTAGAAGTGATATCGAAACCTATCCCCAGGCCTGTGGCCGCTGTTGGTGATATGAACCTAGGTAGGAAAGCATATTTTTCGTATTTTTTGTCCAGGGCAGTTTTGAGGGATAATTTTGAGAACTTTGTCAACATCCGTCCTGTATAAGTTGGAAAACCATGCTACTTATTTTTTTTCGAAGAGTGAGATGTACTACTACAGAGTGATCATTTTTCGCTTGTACGTTGACTAGTTCGGGCCGAAGATGCTTGAGGGTTGAGCTCTGGATTCAGGTTACCATTGATATAAACTGGTATAAGCAAACGGGTGGGTTTCAGGACACAATGGGGAGTCAGTCACTAAAACAAGTAACCCCGTTGGGGGAACCTGGAGACAGCCTCGGGTATGGATGGTCGAACACGCATCAGTAGTGCTGAAGAATGACGCCAATTCTTAAGCAACGGCGCGCTCGACGGAACTCCACCATACTTTAATTTTGAAAAGATACTGAAGTCCTCGCGTATGCGGGGAGCTGCCTCGGTTTCTAGTAAAATTTCTACTGTAAAGGGAAACAGGACTGTCCCTATACCGAAGAGCCTACCTTATCCGACTGAGTTGCTCAATAAAAGCCATAGATGAGTACGGCTGGCCTTGAAGACCGTCTAGATGCCAGGGGTATCTTTTTACCAATTGGCCTGAATCTATTCGCCTTTTTATATTTCGCTTAGTTTCGAGGCCATCGATAAGGTCTACCTCAGAATACAATCACCAGTTGGTAGTGGAGACGGACGCGGGACAATCTCTGACCTCAAAGCTAGAAGACCGTCACTCCGATGAGAAGAATCACGCTGACGGAAAACCGAGCTTAATGCCGGAGCAGCAAAATGTCAGCCCACACTCGGCTGAGGATATAGTAATAGCAAAGCCGGCATCCTCAGTGAATCCAGCGGGTGATGAACTGAATCTGTCTGCCTCGAAGTTCCAACGGAGTGGACCATCAGAAGAGCAACCACTGAGAAGTTCTCCTCGACCGACAGTATCTCCATCCATTAAGGAACTCTCAAATCAGAATAAACCACTTGTGGAGATAAACGATCGACCTTCAGGTAAGCCTGCACATTTTGTTCGTTTTTCAACTGGATAAGGCCTATTTGTCTACTAGTGGGCTATTAGACTTTAGCTCCCCTTCCGATAGCAGTCATCTATCTAATATATTTCTTAATAAACTTTAAAATGCTGTTTTGGGAAGAATCATTCTATGTAATATCATATATAGATTGTACTCATTAAAAATAAACCAAGATTTTGAGATACGCTTTCGATTATGAAGGATTTCTTGTATGGGAAATGTAATATTAATTAGTATGCAGTCCAATCGCAAGATATTTCGGATAGGTTAGGATGTCGGGTTTTGATTGCACACCTTTTTCCGGTTACTAGCAAAAACCGCACTCAATCAAAAGCGACTACTTACTTAGTATGTGTTTTACTAAGGAATTTCGGTACTTCAATTGACACAATTTTGAAAAATTCGTGGCATTGGTGAGATTCGACACCACTCAGCAGATAAGGCTTTAGTACAGCCGACGTTCTACCAATTGATATACGAAGGCACGCCGACAACCGTGAATTTAATCATACTTGGGTTGATTTACCCTCCTAATAACTACGTGAGCCTAATAGTCATCCTGGTGGATTCTAGATGACTGTTTGGAAATTCCTGTCTGGGCAGTCAGCTTACTGTATCCATAATGTTGGATTCCATACGTGCAATAAGCTGGGCGGGTAAATCGACCCAAGTGTGATTAAATTCACGGCTCATTGTGAACCGCGTAGTCCAGTGGTAGAGCGTTGGCTGTGCAAAAGCCTTCCCCGCTGCGTTGGTTCGAATCCTACCGAGGCCACGACTTCTTCACAATTAGGTCAATTGAGGTATGTAAATCTGCCAAACCCTCCGAATAATAATTTCTATACTCTTAGTCATTCAAGTATATATTCATAGAAAATGCAAAAACAATTCTTAATTGATAACAAACCACGTCTACCTCAAATTTTATACTCGAAGAAATGGTATACGACGGCTTTAAAAATATTTATAATTCCTGGATATTTTTTAGGGGTGATCTGCGGTTGCATTTGTCTGCAGGGTTTCTAGTCTACAAGCTGTATGCTTTCCGTATAAGGAAAATTATACTTTCCCCTATGCCATTCAGAGGAAACCATCTGATATTCATAAACACTTCCAATGGATGTAAACTATGTTGTATACTTCAGCAGCGTTATGAACAAACGCGCGAATAAAACACTATTTGAATGGAAATCGTACGGTCCTATGAAATCTTCTATTTAGTGTTTTATTTAAGGTAAAAAGACAACCTGAGTTCGACTTGGCCATCAAATCAGCATAATAAGGGATGGTTTTCAGCATGTTTACTGTGAAATATATCTGAATTTAGAAGGGTATAGAAATTCAACAGAAAAATGAATGTTTCTTAAGTAGTCATTTATTTTTATCTAATTCGATCTTCGCAAGCGGCCGAAAATACGTGCATTCGAAAATCGGCACCCCTTCAATGTGCTTATAGGACTAGATGATGGGTATTATAACTCCACGTAAGTAGTCTTTCCTAGTGAAGAATGCATTTCAGAAATTCGATTTCATGAGATTGGTCACTGACTATGAACTGCCCCCTCGTGTTCAGCTACATCAATAAGCACCAGATCATTACTGAATTCCTGATCGGCAAGCAATTTTTCAGCGAGTATCTTCTGCATAATTGACACTACGTTACGTTTGCAATTGGTACAGTA